ATTTCATTTATTTCCAGATGGGGCCAACATTTATGAATATGGTTGTTTACCTGCATTTTTACTCTAATGTTGCCCTAAAGTCTGACTCAAGTTAGCTTTCAATAGCTTAATATGTTACCTGAAATGCCCCTCATAAGAAATTCTTTTGATAAAGCTATGTGTCTAGGAAGCCTCTATTACAGTGGGAGTAGCTTAGAGGGCTGTTCTGGATGGCTGCTGAGTTAGGAAGAGAAGAACCAATGGTTGAGGAGTCGATTCTGACTCATGGTGACCCCATGTGTGCCAGAGTAGAACTGTGCAACATAGGGTTTTCAGTGACTTAGTTTTTTGGCTGTGGATTACCAGGCCTTTCTTCTGAGGTGCCTCTGGGTGGACTTGTACCTCCAACCTTTGTTTTAGCAACTAAGTGTGCTAATAGTTTCTGCCACTCAGGAACTCCAGCTAGAGAATACCAAACCAAAAGACTAAATTCACTGTGATCAAATTGATTCTGATTCAGAGCAACCCCCATTGGGTTTCCAAGGCTGTAAATCTTTACAGAAGCAGACTGTCCTATCTTTCTTCCATGGAGTGGCTGGTGGGTTTGAACTGCCTGCTGACCTGGTTAGCAGTCAGATACCTTAACCGCTACACCACCAGAGCTCCTTAGCTAGAAAATAGGAGAGGGAGATGAATCAGCCCATTCTTCCCTAACTCACTCAAGTAGGTTGAGAGGACCTAGCATTTGTATTAACACCCTGGCTCTTAAAAGCATAGTCCTGTTTGGGGAGCAAACGATTAATGTCTTTAGCTGCTAAAGGAAAGGTTGGAGGTTGGAGTCCACCCAGAGGTGCCTTGGAAGAAAGTCCTGGCAATGTGCTTCCTAAATATTAGCCATTAAAAACAGTTCTACTCCGATGCATGCAGGATCACTTGACGGCAACATTTTGTTTTAATTTTGGTGGCTCCGATAAGCAAAGAAGGAAAAATTGGAACCTACCAGCATGACCTTAGTTTCCCAGTCTTTGGTCCCAAAGCAAGGCTCTTTTGTGGGCCTGATGTTCCTCTTGGGGCTGATGACAGGTCATGAAGCTGGGTTCTCGCTTGGCTACTTGGTTCCTCAAGAATAGCTTCTGCAAGGAGAAAGCTAAGGAGTCTAGTTATTTCCCAAAGTTTTATTCCCTTGGTTGGACGTGCACCAGTCTGTGTGTCCTCAAAGGGATTGCTTCTTCTGCTGTGGGCCCCATCTCTTCTCACCTGTGTTGTATGTCATGTCCCTTAACTCTGAACTCTTTTGGGACTCTTTAGGATGCATCTGTTTTGTCTTAGCAAAGCAGAGCCTAGCAACCCAACAACAAATAAGGAAAGAACATACTGAAGAATCCAAGGTTTTAGTTTCTTTACTCAAAACCATGTCCAAATGTAAGCACTTTGACCTATTGCGTGATAAACCTTCTGTTACTAAAGCCAGTTAATCCTGACGGTAGACTATGAAAAAACTTCTTTATAATGCCATCACCTCTGTCAATAAACTAATAATAGGTCATGTATCTTCCTCTGAAATCATCCCTGACCACAAAGGCAGAAGTGATCACTTCCTCTGTGGCACTGAGTTTCAAATCTAGATGCACATTAAAATCATCTGGGAGCTTTAAAAGACCATACCTGTGCCCAGGGCCCAGTTGAGTCAGAATCTCTTACATAGACCCCAGCATTAGCTCTATTTTTATTTCTTTATTAAGCACCCAGGTGATTCTAAGGTATATCATATGTGAGAATGCTCTTCACCTTTGCCCCAGCTCCCTGTTGACCCTCCATCTTTATTTGTGTGTGTCTGAGCTTAGTGCCCGACAGAAAAGGGGCTCCACAAAGGCTTATTAATAAGTAAAGAGCTGTTGCCTGGCAGAGTCTGTGGAAATAGTTTGCAAGGTAAGATGTTTTGATGGGGGAAGGACTTGATAAAGTCTGCAGAATGGGGTATTCCTCATGAACTGGGCTGAGATTAACCAAAGGACACATGAAAGAACACGTTAGGACTGTGACATGAAGGGAAGAAGAGGATAGTGGTCATACATGTATTATTTATTCAATATATTTTGTTTTTAGGGCAAATTCTTTCAGAAGTCAAAGAACACAAGACACAAGCATATGGGTAATGTAATAACATTTATTATTTTAAGACATACTTCCTAAATTTCAATTATTTGCATACCATTTCCCAAATTTGTTACAGCTCTAATTTTTACTATCTATAGTTTTCTTAATTAAATTGCTCTTAAACCTATTTTAAAATCGTTTCACTTTCAAATGGAAAGTCAGCATTACTTTTAAAATACTATAGATAAACCCCCAAATACTGTGAAAAACTGCAGTGTTATGCTTAAGCTGTATTTTTACTTATACTAGGCCTTGAGCCTGAAACTCGTTTTTGCTGTGTTTAAAAAAAAAGATTAGTAAGCATTTAAGATACATATTAAAAACCTAGTATCTTCAGTGGGAGTCCTTGGGTGTCACAACTTGTTAAGTGGTTGACTACTAGCTGAAAGGTTGGTGGTTTGAACCCACCCAGAGATGTTTTGAAGGAAAGGCCTGGTGATCTGCTTCCAAAAGGTCATAGCCATTGAAAAAATCAATGGAGTAGCTCTACTCGGCATACATGAGTCGCCTTGAGTTTGGCTCAACTCATTGTCAGCTGGTTAGTATCTATCTGAGACACCCTGAGCAAGATCATAAGTACTTAAAGGATTGAGAAAGAAGTAGGTTTTTCACCCAGAGTCAATTGCGTTGAATGACGTGTTTTTGTACCTGTGTGCAAATAACAGTGGTGGCACCGTACCTGAGGCATTTGACTGCTAACCAGCAGGTTGGTAGTTCTAACCCACCAGCCACTCTGTGGAAGGAAGACTGGGCAATCTACTTCTGTAAAGATTTATTGCCTTGGAAACCCAATAGGGGTCACTATGAGTTGGAATTCACTTGATGGAAGTGAGTTTGTTTTTTGGTTTTGTATCACTAGAGTGTTCTCTCACTTTGGAAGTCATAGTGCTCCTAGTCTATAGTTAGGAGTTGCTGGGTAGTATAAATGATTAACATGCTTGGCTGCTAACTGAAAGGTTGGAGTGTCAGGTCTACACACAAGAGCCTGAGAAGAAAGGTGTGGTATTCTATTTCTGAAAAATCAACTTTTGAAACCTTGTGGAACACAGTTCTATTCTGACTCTATGAGGTCACACTGTGAGTTGAAGTTGATTCCTTGGCAATTGGTTTAAGTTTGTAGTCAAACAAACAAAAAAAAAACTAAACTCACTGCCATCGAGTCGATTCCAACTGCAACCCCCATTGGGTTTCTTAGGTGGGCAGTCTTTTTGGAAGTAGATTGCCCTGTCTTCCTTCTGTGGAGTTGCTGGTGAGTTTGAACTGCCAACCTTCTGGTTAATAGTCAAGTGCCTTAGGCACTGCACTACCAGAGCTCCTTGGAAGGTAGTTAGGTCTTCAAAAACAAATTCATTTTAAAAAAATCAGTAACGATCACTGCCAACCTCAGATGTTCTGGGTCATGGTATCATAAACAAGGGTGAAGCTGGTCCTCACCAACCTAGTGATGTCTTCGGGATTTGCTTCTACACCTGACAATTCTAGTCTGGGGGGTGTGTCCTCGGGTTTATGCTTTGCATACTTGAAGGATACAAGAAATACATACATAAGATACTGTCACCACTTAATATATTCGGATTCATGAGACTCCTTTGCTGTTGTTAGCTGTTGATGAGTTGGTTCTGACTCGGTCCCAACTCATGGTAACACCATGCACAGTGTGCTGCCCAGTCCATGATTGGTTGTATATGTGACCATTTTGGTCGATAGGGTTTTTAGTGGCTGATGTACAGAAGCAGTTCTCCAAGCTTTTCTTGCTAGTCTATCTCAGTCTAGAAGCTCCACTGAAACCTGTTCAGCATCATAGCAGTACACAAGCCTCCACTGACAGATGGGTGGTTGCCCGTCAACAGAGGTGTGTTGGCTGGGAATTGAACTTCTACATGGAAAGTGCGAATCCTACCACTGAACCACCAGTGTCTCATAAGACTGCCTGACGTGAAATAAGTTATTACCAACTTAATGGTGGTGCCCTCTAGAGGCTCAGGGGTTTGTGCACTGGGTTCCCCAGGGATAGAGTATGCTTTTTTAAAAAAGACTGCTTTAAAAAAAAACAAAAATGAATTTTATATTAAAATTGAGGATTTATCTTAATAATTATTATGAATGTAAAAAAAAAAAACAGAAAAAGATGAAAAGCAATATAAATATCAAAGTACAGTTGAATCATCCCCCAGGATAGATTAAACTTGTCCTAAATCTTTAAACTTTTATAGTCCAGTCTTAGGTTTGAAATTATGGTTTAAACAGAAATTTTATTTTATTTTATTTTATTTTCTCTAAGACATGATAGAAGCTTGTCTGTGCAAAAAAAAATTTTTTTAAAGAAAAAAAAATTGTACTTTATTTTATCATTTAAAATAGTACTTTGAATTTCCAGTGTTGGCTCGATGTTTAGGGGCCTTACCTTTCAGACAAATATCTAATACCTCTTCAGTTGTGAAGTATCATGAAACCTGTGAGAGCTGGAATTGATGAAACTGCCTTGATTTTCCAGATCTTATATGTTTTCCACCTTTAACAGAGTCTTACCACTTTGCTGTCACTCATTTTACTGGAAAATACTTGTGTTTTCCTGCTTTGGCAGGTTTCTGCCTTACACATGCTCCAGCTTTTGCAGGTTTTACTGCATCAGAGAGGATTTTGTCATGTTTTTCAACAACAACTTGGTTATGACTCCACTAATGCAATAGTTTTTCTTTCTCTGCCCCCTTTTTACTTCTCTACCTATTTATCATATAAGAGAGTCTAGTCTTATAGAAGAGGTTATTTCTCTTTTGTATAGCTTTGTAGTAATAGATTTAATTATACATCACTGACACTAATACCCCTTTAAAATTGTCATTTGTCATCTGTGTATATAAAAGTCTAATTACAGAAAGCACCTCTTCTCTGAGAGTGGTCAAGATTCAAGTAATACCAGTGAAAGATCAGGGCCTACTGAGGAAAAAAGGAAATCCATAAAATCATATTCTAACAGAAAAAAGAAGAGAGTCAGAAGTAGAATAAAAGGTAAGTTTAATGTGTCTCTTTTTCCAGGCCATTTTTAAAAATAAGCAGGTATTTAATTTTTAGTGTGGGATGGGAGAGGGTCGAAGAATTTGATCTTCTTTCCTGCTACAGTTTCCTTGGAAAGGCAAAATATACATACCAAAACTGTACTGAAGATTAAACCGAAAAACTAAACCCCTTGCCATCAAGTTGATTCCAACTCAGAGTGACTGTAGAACAGAGTAGAACTTCCCTCATTGTGTTTCCAAGGCTGTAAATCTTTTCAGGAGTAGACTGCTTTGTCTTTCTCTTGGGGAGCAGCAGCTGGCTACCTTTTGCTTAATAGCCAAGCTGTTAACCACTGCATTACTCTGGCTTCTGATACAGAGATATTAACCAATAATTATTGTAATTATTGTTAAGCAATAGTTGTTAAGTATGAGCTATAGATAGAAGGAGTTCAGATGAGAGGAATCTTTCATGAGCTGGCATTAACAGGAAAAGCTTCAAAGAAGGCGTAAGTGGAACTTGAGCTAACTCTTGAAAAAAGAATAGTATTTAAAGAGGCAGTGTGAACAAGAAGCATTCTAAGTTAGGCAAAATTAAAAAGAAAACAAAGACGGTAGAATGGTGTTCATGGGGCATGAGCTGGATCAGAGAATTCATGGTGAGTGGTGGTGTGGTACCATTTGCGCTCAGCTCCTAACTAAGGGTTGGTAGTTCAAACCCACTCATGGGAGCTGTGGAAGACAGCCCTGTGATCTGCTTCCGTAAGGACTACACCCAAGAAAAACCTGTGGAGCTCAGTTCCTCCATGAATTGGAATAGACTTAATAGGAATGACTTTGTTTTTTGGTTTTGGTGGGAAACAAGGTTGGATAATTAGAAAGGAATCTTAAAAGCTGGACATTTGTACAAACTATAAGCAGTGGGAGTAGATTCTAGTATCACTGTGTAATTGGGAGAGGGATAAATTGATTTTTGTGTTTCTCATAAGTAAATTTATCCACTGTACCTTTGTTTTCTTTCTTTTTAGTTCTGCCACTTTCCCCGCTCAGTAGTGAAAGTGATCACAATAAAGGCCAAGTAAGTAAATTTTATCTGGACTGCAGTATATGCCACTGGGTAAACCTGCATGTATTTCTCAAAACACATCTTTTAAGAATATGAGGATAATAAACTAGTGGTTGGTAATGGCCAATAGAACTACAAGGACTTCTAAATGTTTAGTGTGAATCTTGGGCAAAGATATAGGATGTCTTTTTATTGTTCCCAAATGGGGCTGAATGACTTTTTTTATGAGCATCACTAAAAATCTGGGCTATTCTGATTTTCCACAAATGCATGTACCTTTAAATTTACATTTCCCATTTATATTTTAAAGTTACTGATAGAGTCTTTTCTTTAGTTTTCAGTTTGTTGGCATGTTCATTCAAAAGTTTTTTTTAAATAACTTTTTATTGTGATTTTGGGGAAAATTTACAGAGCAAATTGGTTTTCCATTCAACAGTTCATACACATATATATATATTTTTCTGCATTGATTGCAATCCCCAGGCCCTGCAACTCATTTCCTCAAGATGTTTGGTTATGGCTAGGAAGTTATTGCCAAAGTATTTAATGATTTAGCATTAAGTCTTTATTTTTGCCAAAGGTTGAAATGCCTTCAGGTTTATGCAAATATTGAACAAACCATGAAGGTTTTTAAATTTCCCTTCACTTATCCTTATTTTGAGGAGTCTTGGTGGTGTAGCAGTTAAATTCAGTTGCTAACTCACAGGTTAGCCAGTTTAATCCACCAGCTGCTCCACGGATGAAAGATGTGGCATTCTGCTTCTGTAAAGATTACAGCCTTGGAAACCCTATGGGGCAGTCTTCCCTGTCCTGTAGGGTTATGATGAGTCAGCATCGATTTGATGGCAATGGGTTTGGACTCAGAGCTGTGGTTTTCAAACTTTAGTGGTCACCAGAATTACCAAGAAGGCATGTTAAAATAGGTATTGTTGGTTTCTGTCCCCAGGGTTTCTGATTGAGTAGGCTATAGGTGGGCTTGAGGATTTCCATTTGTAGTAAGTTCTCATGTATTACTGATACTCCTGTCCAGTACTACCTTTTAAGAGCCACTATTGCAGAGTTATCAATTGAGATATAATGTAATATTCTTCCAACTCTGGGATCTTGGGTTCTTAGTTTTTATTTTCAATGGAGTAAATCCAATACTTAAAATTTTTTAAAGTGATAATTGAAAATGTCTTAAAATGTCCTGAGAATTGGTTTTGAGTGCTTATGAATGTTAATACTTAAAAATGTCCTAAATTTCAGGTTAGATTTCTAACACCATTATGGAAAGATACTTCCAAGAAAAATGCCATACCTCGGAAAATTTCTGGGACAGAATTCCAGGGTACTTCTGTCTTTGTAACTCCCAAAGATTCTGCTTTGAAAACACGTACGTGACTTTTCTGTCAGTTTATTAGAGAAAATGATATTTTTGGTAAGGTAGTTAGAGTAAACATGTTTTTCTTTCCATATCTACTGAAGAAAGTGTAGAGATAATGATTCTTCTCTTCAGTGCCCCTATTAGCAAAAGATACCGTATTTTAATTTTATTCTTATCATGAGATTAGTTTAAGCTTAAGGTCTTCTTTTGGTAAGAAAACTTAAGAGCTGACATTTAACTGAGGTTAGCAAACTTTTTCTGTAAAGTGCCAGGTAGTAAATATTTTGGCTTTCTGGTCCTTATGGTGCAGCAATTGTAGCACCAAACCAGCCACAGACAGTATAAGTTTCCATAAAACTTTATTTACAAAACCAAGTGGTAGGCAGAATGTGGCCTGGGAGGCCAAAGGAGAGGGAAAAAGGAGAGAGGAAAAACACAGAACTAGAGAGTAAGAAGGAATAAGGAAGAGAATCTAAGAGAGAGAGGAATCACAAGTTGAGGTGTTAGAACCCTTGCCCCGATGTATTTGGGGCCTGATGGGAAGTTAGTAAATATATAATCTATTGAGGTGATTGGCCATTCATTTATCTACAGATCTACAAACCTAATAAACACATATGCTCTAAAAGGCCTAAAGTTTTTTGTTTTATTTAAAACCCTATCCCTTTTTATTTTTTAATGATGAGATTGATATAAGATAGAGAGCCATAGTGAAATAGTATCGCCTCAGGTCATTTCTAGGTGTGTTAACTCACCTGAAACTGTTCTCTCTAAATATCCAGAACTTCAAAGGCCTCATATACCAAGTGAACTCTCTTCCTCAGAACACTCAGAAGTTGAAGAAAGCATACCTAAGGTACAATTTAATTGTTGGTTATAGATCTGGTTTTCCAGAACTAATATTCTATTTGTATACTATGCTGGCTCATTACCTTTTAAGGAATAATACTGTTTATTTTGGCATAAAATACGTATATTTGTGGTCTATATATTTTGTTTTTAAGATCGTGAACCGAGAGTCATCGATGACGAGCTTCAAACGTAAGGTGCAAACCTTAGATGATAAAGGTGAGAGAATAAGAAACCATCTTTTCAGGAAAAAGTGAAATTAATCTGATTTTGGCATGGTGGGTGGTGTTTCAAACTATAGCAGATAAAACCACTTAATAGAGTGATTATTACCAGTTAAAAATGAGAGAATGTGATCTGCTTAATGCCCCAAATGTTCATGAAGGCTGTATTAGTTCCTAGGGCGCTGTAACAAAATACCACAAAGTGGTGGCTTATAAGAACAGAAATTAATTATCTCACTGTTTTGGAGGCTACAAGTCCCAATCAGAGTATTAGACCTGTTGATTTCTTCTCAGGACTCTGAGGGGATTGTTACATGCCTCACTCCTACTTTCTGGTGTCTCCAGGTGTTCCTTGGCTTGCAGCTGTAGCATCACACAGTGACCCTTCATCTCCCTGTTTCTGTGTCTGTTCTTCTCCTTCATAAGGGTGCCAACCTATAGGATTAGAGCCTACTCTACTCCAGTATGTCCTCATGTTAACTTAACGGATAGCATCCTCTTTCTAAACAAGTTCATGTTTAAAGGTATCAGGGGCTAGAACTTCACTATATCTTTTTAGAGGACACCATTCAGTCCATAACAAAGAGGATAAACAGAGGGTTTCATTCAGAATGCAGAATTTCTAGTGTCATGTATCCTGAAATACAAATGCCCTTAAATAGCAGCTTCCTCTTAGGCCTCAGTCGAGTGTACTGTGGAGCTCATTCCTTCCAGGAATGTGTGGGTCACTTGAAGTGGGTCACTGTAGAACAAAGTGTAGCCAAGTTATTAAAGATTTGAATTAATTTTCTTATGGTAGCTGTGGTATAAAGGATTCTAGGCTAGTTCATAATGTTGTGAATTATTATAGAACAACACTTTTTATGATATTTCTTAAAACTTTTTTTTTCTTTACATCTTAAATATCAAGAAGATACAAAATAGTTACACATTTTGAGCTGGATATTTAGAATATCAACACAACAAACATCTGTTTTCTTAAACATCCGGTTTAAGAAACAGACATTAACTGTTACTTTCAAAATCCTAGTATGTTCCAGCGTCCCTGGTGGTGCAAATGTTAATGTTTTCAGCTGCTAATGGAAAGGTTGGGAGCTCTGGTAGCATAGTGCCTAAGGCACTTGACTGCTAACCATAAGGCTGGCGGTTCAAACCCACCAGGCACTCCTCAGAAGGAAGAGGGGGCAATCTACTTCTGTAGCAATACTGCCTCGGAAACCCAAGGAGGGGTCGCTATGACTCGGATCTGTCTCGACGGCACATAACAACAACAGCAACAACAATGGAAAGGTTGGAAGCTCAAGTCCACCCAGAGTTGTGTCAGAAGTAAGAACTGACAGTCTGTGTTACAAAACTCAGCCATTGAAAACCCAATGGAGCACTGTTTGACGCTGACACACATGAGGTTGCCATGAATCAGAATTTACTCAATAGCAACAGGTTTTTAGTATGTTTCGCCTCAAACCCATCCCTGATCCTTCCCTTTTCCCTTCATAGGCAAATACTCTCCTTAATTTTTTGTTTGATCCCATTTTATATTTGTACTTTTACAATATGAAAATTATCATACATTCATAAGACAATATAAAACAATGTATACAGTTTAAAGAAAATTAGAAAGTGAACTAGAAAATTGCTGTTGGCTTTAGAATCCTTCCATACACTGCCTCATTCCTATTAATTCCCTCCATCTATCATAGAGACAACTATAGTCCTGTCTTTTGTGAAAATCCTTCCATTGCTTTTCTCTTTAATTTTAACTTTCTCCATGTGTCCCTGAATACTAATACATAGCTTAATTTTTCTGATTTAAAGTTTATATAAATGACATCATTTTCTGTGGTCTGCTGCTTTTTCTCAAAATCATGTGTAAGATGCTTTCATGTCAATGCATGCAGGTGAAGTATATTCATTTTCTCAATACAGTATTCCATTATATGACTAATACTCACTGCCATTGAGTCGATTCTGACTCATAGCGGCCCTATAGGACAGAGAACTCCTTACAGGGTTTCTAAGACTGTAAATCTTTATAGAAGCAAAGTGCCTCATCTTCCTCCTGGAGAGTGGTTGGTGGGTTCGAACTGCTGACCTTTTGGTTACTAGAATACCTTAACACATGTGCCACCAGAGCTCCATTATATGACTATATATAATTTATCCATCCTAGTGGTTGTGGTACATTTGAGTTGTTTGCTGTTTAGGTTGTTATAAACAATTCCACTATGAAGAATTATATGTATTTCTTTGGCTACATCTGTGAATTGTTTTTCCTCTCGTTATAATACCTAGGAGTGGAATTGTTACATCATAGAATATATATATTTTTAACAGTTTTAGATGTGCCAAACTGTTTTCCAAAGTATTTGTATCGGTTTACTTTGAGACCTCTGCTTCCCCACCTCCTTGCCAACGTTTAATATTGTAAGTTTGGCCAATTTTGTTTGTGTATATATTTATGTTGATCTTAATATGAATATTCCTGATTAAAGTTCAGCATCTTTTTATGTTTATTGTTGTTGTTGTTGTCATGTGCCGTCGAGTCAAACCCAACTCATAGCAACCCCTCCTTGGGTTTCCGAGGCAGTATCACTACGGAAGTAGGATTGCCCAACCTTCCTTCCGAGGAGTGGCTGGTGGGTTTGAACCGCCAGCCGTCTGGTTAGCAGGCAAGTGTCTTAGACACTATGCTACCAGACCATGTTTATTAGCCATTTGAATTTCCTTTTTTGTATTGTATTGAAAAGTCTTGCCTATTTGTCTGTAGGATCATGCTGCTTTGTTGATTCTTAGGAATTCATCACATATACTTGATGCTAGTCCTTTGGTAACATGTAGTGTCAATATCTTTTTCCACCTTGTGATTTGCATTTTTCTCTCTGTATGATGTTATCATGATCATTTTTTTATGTTGTAAAAACATAGATAACATAACACTTGCCATTTCACCATTCTGCATGTATATAATTCAATGAGATAAATTCCATCAGTTGCATTGTGCAACCATCACCAATATCCTACCAAATTTTCCACCCCCACCCAAAAACAAAAACTCAGGACGTTTTAAGGAACGATTTCACTCTTTTCCCTGCCTCCTGCCCCAGGCAACCACTGCTGAAACTCCAACTTCTGTATTTGCCTGTTCTCTGTACTTCATTTACGTGAGACTTATGATCAGTTTTATGACAAACGAAAGTTCCTCATTTTACTTAACTTTAGAATTGAATTTATCAATCCTTTCTCTCTGCTTGGTGTTTTTTTTTACTCTTGAGAAATACTTCTCTACCAATAAAACCAAAGATATTCTATATTATCTTCTGCATTATATCCATTTATGTTACATGATTCTAAGGTACTGCCTTAGGGGAATCTCTAATATATATTCATGGGGTCACTTTCCTTTTACCTGAAGGAAGTACTTTTTTTTTTTGTCCTTTTTGAAATTAGTTTATATATAAAAGACAATTGCCAATTGTATGTTTTTTACATGTATAATTTAGTGACATCATTCACATTAATCATGTTGTGTAACTTTCACCAATATCCATTGTCAGATTCCCATCACTATAAACTGAATGCTGATTAAAAAATGGCTCTGCCTTCCACCCTCCATCCTGACCCTAGTAACCACTAATAAACTTTGAGTCTCTATGCATTTGCCTATTTTGGATATTTTATTTGAGTGCTGTTACTCAGTATTTGTCATTTTGTAATTGACTTATTTCACTTAGCATAATGTTTTCAAGGTTCATCAATGATGTATCAGGTTTTCATTTCTTTTTATGACTAATATTCCATTGTTTGGATACACTGCATATTTTTATATCCATTCTTCTATGGATGAGCATTTAGGTTTGTGGTAGTTATGTCTGTGTGTCAACTTGACTGGGCCTGGTTGAGTGGCTGGGCAGCTGGTGGTTGTATTCCCCATGATAAGATTGGCAATCACTTCCATGGTGGGATCTACCACAAGCAGCTGAGTAGCTGCCTTTGGGATGTGGTCTGCTTCCTGTGTATAAGAAGAAGCCTTGGGAATGGTCTCTAGCCTATGGCATGCTTGGACCCTGCATGTAGCCATGTCTTTGCTCAGCAGCCTGCTATGCTCTGCCGACCTTGGGACTTACAGTGGACTTAAGTTAATGGCCTGCCATGTGGTTTGGTGACATCGGGACTGTGCCTTTTTATTTGTCAACCTTGGGGCTTCTCAGCCTCAGCAGCCAGCAGCTGTCTGAGTGAAGGAACGCCTCTAGCTCCAGTGGGCCAGGAGCAGGAGGCAGAACTGGACGCCAAGGTTGAGGGGCTTTCAACCAGCCGCTAGAGCCTGGCACTTTGAACTTGGACTTAAAGTCTCCAAATTGTAAGAATAAACTCCTGTTTTTTAGGGCCATCCTATTTTTGGTATATTCCTGTCAGAGCGGTACTAGGTAACCAGAACAAGGTTGTTTTTACCTTTTGGTTATTGTGATTAGTGCTGCAGTGAACAATGGTATACAGATATATGTGTGAGTCTTTCATTTTGAATCTCTTGAGCACATACCTAGTAATATAATTGCCGGATCATATGGTAATTCCAGGGAACTCCAATGGTACAGTGGTGAAAGCATTGTGGTGCAAACCAAAAGGCTGGCAGTTTGAATCCACCAGCTGCTCCATGGAAGAAAGATGATGCAATTTGCTTTTGTAAAGGTTTATGGCCTTGGAAACCCTATGGGGCAGGTCCACTCTGTTTTATAGGGACTCTATGAGTCAAAATCTACTTTGTGGTAGTGGTTTATGGTAATTCTGTGTTTAACATTTTGAGGAGCTACCACACTGTTTTCTGTCAGAGTAGACCATTTTACATACCCAGCAACAGTAGATGAGGGCTTCAATTACTCTACATCTTTGCCAGCATGTGTGTTTCCTGGTTTTTGTTTTTGTTTTAATTTTTAGCCATTCTAGTTGGGGTGAAGTGATAATCTATCTCATTGTGGTTTTGATTTGCATCTCCCAATT